AAGCTGGACAAGGACCCCCCCAAGGTCCGATCCAAGCTCGGACCCGTAACCTTGTAACATGAACGTATGACTCCACCATGTGAACGACTAATGGAAATTGCACAAACGTGTGATATGCCAGACTGGGGAGAACAGAACACCCAAGACCAACACCCCCAAGCAACCCATGTGAAGCCCAGAACCAACATACAACACCATGAACAACCCGTGCGCAGGCAGTGTCTGTAATAGTACTATTCGTCAGCCCAAGGGAGTGTATGTCCAACTGTGTGTCAATCTAACGTCCTGCCGGTATCCATGCGCGAGGTTGCAATTGAGTTTTGAACCCGCAACCTCGTACCACAATGTGCATTTCCAACCGATGCTCTAACCACTGAGCCACATCAACTGGACTAGCTCTCGCTTTGTTGAAAAAGGACTTTGTCATTGTCCCGTTCGTCTACTTTCGTTTTATCCTGGCTTGTATCCTCCATGCAGGTGGTCCCTAGCTTCTTGCACTCTATCAAATGTGAGGCAATGCAGTAGGTCGTCCATAAGTTGCTCATCCCATTCTTTGAGGGCCTTCATCAGTTTTCCGAGGAATACCGTACAGTCCCTCGCCTGTTCGATGGTGAACTTTTTGGACTTTTCTCTCATCCGTGTCAACCCCACATTAAACCATTTCGCTGAACTGATACCGGTTTCTGGGTTTGCCATTGTTCCCAAAAGGTGGTGATGGTGTCTTGTATCTTGTCAGGGGGAGGAGGGATGTGTTAAGCTTTAAGAACCCAGGCCCCCTCTGGATGTGGTTATGCCATGACATGCCAAGTGTGATAATTTGGTGAGTGAAGGACTTGCACGGGCTGATAGTTGTTATTTATGCCGTTGTGACAAGGCAGACCAGGTCCTTCGATACCAGCGTGAGGACTATGCGTGAGTTGGACAGGCCTCAGTAAACTGGATGACAAACGAGTTAAGGCGCTTTGGGAGGGGTGCAGCCTTCTGTACATTTCCTCCAGTTCTTGATCCGTCATGAGCTGCTTGAGCATGAGCACGTCTGGTCCCACTCCAGGCTGCTGCGAAGCCCAGTGGTCCTGTGGGTGAGAGGAGAACCTGCAGTCCATAGCCAGGTCGAGTCCCCTACTAGAATTTGTTGGGCATCAACTGGCAAATGGTGGTGAAGAGAGAGCCAGAAATTCTACCCTACTGGTGGGGTCGTTCGGTGCATAAATGCTAGTCAGATAAAATCCTTCTTCTTCAAAAGCCACTTTGAGGCATACCCACCTCCCATGCTGTTCGTCTCTGTCCAAGCTAATAGGCTTTCCTTTTGATGAAAGGGTGGGGGGAAGATTGCTACCCCCCACACGACCTGTCTCGGGCTGGTGCCAAGTAGGCTTTTGCGGAGTGTGGGGGGGTGTACTGCAGGTGCGTCTCTTGTACACAGACTGCATCTGGTCATGACCCCCTGCCGGGCATTTGATCATGTTCATGATTGCTCCTTTTCTATCCGTTGTCGGTTGAATAAGCCCGTTAACATTCAGGGAGCGGATGTCTATATCTGCCTGGGCTAGCTTGGTTGCCCATTTCCCCTTTTTTATTAAATACTGCCACATGTATAAGCTGTGGCTATGGGGTTTAAGTCGAACTTCATCTTCTGAGGCTAATAGTGTTCGACGTCCAGCAATCACAATGCGCAATAATACTGAAAGAGTTTTTTTGAAAATTTCCCCCCCTTCCTACATCATATTGCAATAACCATGAAGATTTATGGAGCTGGGATTTCAAATTATTTTTTTCCCAATCAATCTTCAGCTGAAATGCCCATGTCATCCATCAGGACATCCACCGTTAAAATCGAATCAATAAAGAGAAGAAAGATCAGCATAGCCCCTGAAAAAAAAAAAGAGAACAGAGAAAAGAATGGATATTTCTGAAATGCCCCTGAAAGTTGGGTGCCCCTGAAAGTTGAGGTATTTCCTCAGATACCCCTAAAAGGCCTGGGTACGGAAAAATGCCCCTATGACAGTCACAAAACTTTGCGAAATACCCCACTCGCCAATTAGACCTGTCATCTTTTGCATATGCCCCCACCAGCCCCTAGACAACTTGTCTATATGCCCCAGTATTTTTTTAGGCTTTTGGACCTTGCAGATGGCAAAAGAAACACATGAGCCCCTGCAGCCCAGGGTCAGGGCATATGGCAAAGTTGCGAACAACCGGGACAGGGGCACATGCAGAAGTTTGGGGCATTTCTGTGTACCCCTGTATTTTAGGGGTATCTAGTGAAATACACCAACTTTTTTGGGTATTTCAACAATTTTCCCAGAAAAGAAAAGCCAGTGCCGAATGGAACAACAACTGTTTGCATGAAAAAGAAAAACAGGGAACAACAACTGTTTGAGAACACTGATCTGTGTCTCCTTCAGAGGGAAAACACCACGGATACACATATCCGTTAATGATGAATAAACACGACAACTGCAGAAAAAGCTATCGTCGATAAATATATACAGCGTAACCAGTGGCCGGGATGGGCAGAACGCCCAAACCCAAACGCCCGTACATACAGGACCCCTTGGGGATGTGTTCGGCCGTTCGTGCCGAACGCGGGCCAAAGACACGCACACACACACACACACACACACACACACACACACACACACACACACACACACAACTCAAAAAACTCTGAAAAGTTGTGAAAACAAGATATGTTATGAAGAAAAATAAAATAAACAACATTTGCCTGAGCATTACATCCGAATACCTTACCAAATTTGAAATAAAAATAAAATACAGAAAATAAAACTAATAATAAAAATAAGAAAAAATTCAAAAAATGAAACGAGAATTAAAATTAAAGAGTGAGCGAGCAGATTTTCGACACCGCCATCTTTGGCGATTTTTCATTTTATTTTGGCACAGCCAAATGCCCTGAAAAATTTACAGATGTGTACTTCACATAATACAAAACTCGTTAAAACAGTTTCAAAAAATAATAAAACTGTTTAGGCGCCGCAGTAAAATGAAAACAAAAAGTGAAAAGTGAAAAAAAACAAAGTGAGTGAGTGGGCGAGCACAGCCATCTTTGGCGATTTTGTGTTTTTGTTTGGCTTAGCAAAATGCGAGGAATATGAGTGTGAAGTTGTGAACGATATACCGAAAACCAAGTAGCGAAATCACACAGATGTCCAAGTAGTCGTGTCCAAGCAGAGAGTACAAATGCACTGAGAAAACCATCCATATAGAGCAATACAATGAAGTAATGAGCCAATGTTAAAGCCCGTAGGCCACACCAACACAGTATCCAAAGTCGCTTCTCTCTGTCTGGCGCCCAGCGACCAGCCTACTCTATCCGACTATCCTACCTACAGCTGTGTTCACGCAACAGGCTCACTTCAACTCTCGAAGACCAATGTACATGACTGTCAACAACACCATAGCCGACCTCTCTTCATGCACCCGGTACGTATCTCGACACCCTCAATCAGACCTCGACAACCCCACACTCGCCTCCTTCCCTGAAGACCACCAGATCAGCCGCATTACCCCCTGGCACCCAGCAGCCCGGCTATGGCTGCCTGCGCCCCGCTGCCCTGCAGCACCCCACTTCACTTCCATGCGCCCCCTCAGCGCCCTTGGCCGCAGCGCAGCATCAAGCAGTAGCGCAGCAGCACTTCCGCATTGCCTACGCAGGCCAGAATGCCTCACCAGGGCGGCCTCACTTCGTATACGGAAGTGGCAGCCTTCTGGATGCTGTGTGTGGCCCGGCTGGAAGCTTCCAGTAGCTTCCGGTTGGGCCTCAGTCCCTGCGCCCAGTCCCGAGACTACAGTTGAGGGCCTGGGCCCCATTTACAGTTGGGCACGGCCTGAGTCTCTGGACTTGGGCTGTTTGCTGCATCTGTGCAGGGCTCTCAGGTAGGTGCGTCAACAGTACTGCTTTTCCCTAGTCTGAGGGCCTGCTTCTCAATGTATTGGCCCTGCTTTGTGTGCATGCGCCCAGGCGCAATTGTCAAGGCCTGGGCAACTGTACGACGCAGCTTAGTGAGGCTCGCGCATCCATTCAACCAACTGGCGTGCTGCCGGAGCCTGAATACTCACATATGAAAGTGTCGAATTTTGGCCTTTTGTCAGGCTTTTGACGAATATTCAGGCCCGCCTTCACTTAGGGCGGGCACTTGGCTCGCTGGGGGCCTTTGCCCAGAACATGTGGTCTGATAGGGCCCCGTGAGGGCTTGTTCCTCACAAAAATGACTTCCAAATTTATAGGCATGTACCTCACATCATAGAGAACTCACATTTCTTTTTTTTTTAACCAAAACTTATTTTTAGGCCCCGAAATAATTTTTGGCGGGGGCCGAACGCCGTCGGGTTCGAACCCCGAACGCCCGTACATGCGGAGGTCGGCCTGGGGACCTCCGTACGTACGGGCTGGTCACCCTGAACTATTGACTAAGAGCATGAGCACGTGAAGTAGAAGAAGAAATAAGATGAGCAAAGAAAAGAAAAATGAAAGAACAGACAGGCAAAGAGACAGACAAACCAGAATGACACTTTGTTTCACAGTATTATTATTTCTTTCAGTGTTTTACAAAAAATATTTACACTGAATCAAAGGATAAAAATAAAAAACAAAGACACATTGAAATCATTCAGTTTCTCAGTCTTCTTAACGCCTTGCTTGTGAGCGTTCGCACCCCCCTTCACTGCGACTGGTCGAACATCACTCCCCCAAGGCGGGGGACACTTTTTTTCCGTACCTATTCCCTCTGGTTCAGGATTCGTACTGTTTCTCAAAGCCACACCCCAACTTACCGATGCGACCATCTCAACCTTCTGCCGTCACATGTGTGCTATTCCATTCCTTTTTAGCTTTTTAAATGATATTGTGTTATTCAATTCCAATCCCACATTTGACTATATTTATACACCATTGTTAATTTCATCCACCCCCGACCCCGTTCCCTGCAATCAAGTGACACCCCCCCCACACACACACCACCTCTTCTGCCAACCCATACGTACATTTATTAAATTTATTTTCCCTTTTTCACAAGAAGATTGTTTGCCATGTTGGATTTAGAAATCTAAAATCCATCCCGCTGCCCTCTTAAATATTTTGTGTGCAAAGCACACACACACAAAAAAAAAACATCTTCGTTGTGACAGACGTGTAAAGTTGCAAACACATCCTCAATGTCAAAAATGCTGCCACTCTCAGTACCCCTTTGCCTTTAGCTTCAGCCTTATTAAGCTGTTGCCCACTGATCAATGCCCACCAGTTCAAACGTCAAACCGAAATGCAAATGCTTTGGTAGCACAAACAACAGACAATTTTCAACTCCCTCGCAGTTCTTTAGCTACTGCTCCTTTGCAAGGTTCAGTGCATTTTGCGGACTACTTGGTCATCGTTTTCTCACCAAACAACCTACCCCTACTCTACCCTACCCTACCCCTACCCTACCCTATGCTTCAGCAGCAGGTAAGCTCTCCCTCATTCCCCCCTTTCATCCAATGCAATTGATCGATGATTGCAGACCCATCATCCCATACTTCATTCGACTACATTCCACTAGCGGCTGTTTCTCAGTATAACCAATTAACCTACCAATCAATTAACGTATGTTCAGCCTCTCCCGACGAGTAGGGAGGTGAAACTCCGACGAAACAGTTCGTCACAGCCCCTCGTTTGTTGTCCTCTTCTCCCTCTCTGCCTACGGTTTACCTGGCATTTCTGTTTATATATACCCGTCGTTCCAAACATAAGTATCGTCCACCCATAACATCACATACATTTCCAAAACATTATGATCCATGTGATGTCATCATCCTTGAACCGACCGTCCCCAGGTATATTCAGAGGTATTTTTACTCACCTGATTCTATCGAGATTCAAACTCAGGTCTTTGTTTCAACAGATAAGTGTACCAACTGAGATAGGCCCATGACATTGTCCGACTGATCGCAATACCTCCATCCCTCCTCGCACGCCCATGCACGTCATCAGAATCAGATCGTCATAGCATACCTTCCTGTCAAGCTCATATACTCTTTTCAATCCTTCTTCACTGCTCTTGTGTTGTTTAAGCCTCATCAGTCCATCCTCCGTGTGCCCCCCGCCCCCCTCCCCCCAAACACACAATGCTTAATATTCTCTTAACTGTATTTTTTGCAACAAAAGATCCCACTGTTTGGAACTGCATGTGCATGTTTTAGACGAATCGTCAATGCACTGGCACTTGGGCACCCATCTGCTCAGCATATGCCCGACGGTTACGCTCGGCATCTTCTCGGCAGCTACCCCATGGTAGAATTCTTCCTCCGTATATACACTACCTCACAACCGACTACACAACAGCTCTGCTGTGGACTCTGCCAGGTAGGTCTTCCTGATCGCTGATCCCACATCATATTGCCTCATCATACGTCATACGTAACCCCAACTACTATCCTTCCTCCTACGCACACTTGCTTCATGCTGCTTCTGCTTCCGCATCCGTTTTCCTGCAAATCTCTTTGCAACCTTCCACGTATCGATCTGCTACTCCCTTGGGACTCTTCTTCTTCAATTCTTGTTTGGACCAAGGGATGGTCAGACAGCTGCAACACTCACTTCTTCACGTTGCTATCTTCCCAAGCTTCATCTCAACGAAGCCACGTAATCGTATGGTAATTCCACCCCCCCACCCTCTCCCTGCAATAGCTGCTTGCACTCCAACTTCTTCAGCCTTTCCGCCGTATGCATCCCCATCTCCCCCCACCTCCCGTTCACTACTCTCTAGGCTTTTACCCCTATCTGCCCCCAGAAGAGATCAGATCTCACCATCCGATCGCCACCTCGAGCTTCGCGCTACCCTCTTGGTCGAGCTAACCCCTAAATTCCACTGCTCCCATGAGGAATTGAACGAGAGTATCGCTCCTTCCGTCCGTCCACCCATACATCCTTTCTTGAAGCTCCTCCCTTCCGTCTTACGAGGCCTTCCGTCTCTCGTTCTACTTCTCCGAGCTCTCCGTACTCCTTTTGAATTCGTCGCCAGAGAAACTTTATGCATGCACCCTCAACTTTTTGCAGTTGTTGTTCAATTTCACCGCAGGTGACCGAATGCTCATCCCATTGACCCAGGCCGATACACAACCCCGGACTCCAACATAGCATCGAAGCAGCAAGACTCCACCAATTGTCCTGCCCACTTCCCCTCCCCATAGACGCACAGAAGCAGCATACATGTGCACACTTTACCCTCTCAGTTCACCCTCACAGTTTACTCTCAATTGTACCTTTTTTTTTCCCCTCTGCTTCCATACCCTACAAGTTACAATATTTATGTCGCATACCCCACATGTCGCTGATCTCAGGATGCTAAACCGCATCTCCTTCGGAACGCACAGCTGCTTCCTCCTCAACGATACGCCTCGACGGTCTCTCCTATCACTACTCCCGCCCCACCTGCATTACCGCACTGCCCCAGCGTCTCCTTCGGCCCCTTGGAACTATGCCCAGGATGCTAAGTCCGCATCTCCTCCGGAGGGCACAGCTGCATCCTCCTCAAACATTTTCTGATATCACAACTCCACCCACCCAATCGGCTCCTTCGGCCCCTTGTAATTATACATGGCGCCTATAGCTCAAATAACTCATCGACCAGCTCGTTGTTGCTCCCTCGACAACCCAGTCCGCCCTTCCTGCAGAACCGTGTTCATCTCAGGTAAGTGCTTCTTCATCAGTACAGTAATTCCCTCTGATTTCTTACATTGTGACAGATTCGGCGCGGTATCACCACATGGTTCTCCGTCCAAACTTCAATTCTCTCTGGGGGACTTCAGTCTTCTCGCTGGGTGACCCTCCTACCCCTCCGACTATCCATCACACTTGGAGCTGCGGCCGATCTGCAAAACCCACACTACATGACCTTGTGGTCCTGTTATTCTCTAATTGCCGATTTGCAAAACCCACACTACATGACCTTGTGGTCCTGTTATTCTCATTGCCTCCAACCTTCCCAGGAGTCTCCACTGGTGGGCTGGACTGTTGCGTTAGTCTCTTTCTCCTCTGCTCTTTCCACTCTTCCTCACTTTCGTTCTCTTCTGATTCTTCCTCGCAGTCTTTGTCGTCGTCGGTTACTTCCACCATCACTTCCCTCGTCACTTTCTTGCCCTTCCAGTTCGTCGACCATCTCATCATTTTTGAGTGGACCCTGTTCTTAATATCCTCCTCCTGCTGAGCGAACAACATCTCGAGCTCATTGTGTAGTTTCCTAGTTTTCTGCGTCCCTCTTTTCCTTTCTGTCTAACTCCAGTTGTGTAAACTGCTTCCTTGCTTTCCTTCCCTCTTCTCCACGTCTCCTCTTCTCCTGTAGCAGCTACCACGCTTCCACAGCTTCCATCTCCTTTTCCAATTGCTTAGTTAACTGCTCCCTTGCTTTCCTTCCCTCTTCTCCATATCTCCTTCTCTTCTCTTGTAGCAGCTACCAAACTTCCTCAGCTTCCATCTCCTTTTCCAATTGCTTCAGAAACCCTGTGGTCGCAGACTCTCGACCACCTCCTCCGTAAGCTGTGCTGGTTCCTCGGGCACGACTAACTGCCAGTGATACCGGTGTCACATGATTCGCCTGGTTTACTGCCGGTTGACAGTCCGTCATTAACTCGGAATTCACTGCTCCCATGGCAGGTCTTACCATACAATCGCACTAATAGAGGCCGAATCGACCTCGCGCATAACACTGCGGTGGTCTCCGTGGTCCACTCGGTCGGCCATCCCGTGACCCCACCCTCTGGTCATAGGGGCATCATAGGTGGCATCATCGACTTTTCACCCCACATAGCTTGGTTCCGTCCCCACCTTGCGTTCCATCCTCCACCTGGTGGTGGCCGAATTGACCTCACGCATAACACTGCGGTGGTCCCCGTGGTCCACTCAGTCGGCCATGCCCCCTGTTTCCTACCGCGTGACCCCACCCTCTGGTCATAGGAGCATCATCGGTGGCATCATCAACTTTCCACCCCACATAGCTTGGTTCTGTCCCCACCCTGCGTTCCATCCTCTACCTGGTGGTCTTGTACCATTTTGCGTCCCCCCCCCCAACTCTCTCCTCCTCCATTCTGTTTGGTGGGTCCGTAAACATGCATTCAAACGTAGCCCCTTTGTACCTTCGTCCCAATCAGTCGATCAGCTTATGAAGTGGTCTGATAGCGCCTTCCCCCATGCCTGCTGCACTCCATCTCCACGATCTTTAACTCCTCCACGCTCTTTCGCTCGCTTCATTTGCGTCACGTCGATTGTCATTCCCCTACACTATCACAGCCACCATCAGCCGAGTCCCCCCCCCCGGCAGGTTGCCTGCGCTTGTCTCGAGGAGGCGGCAAAGGTAAAAGACACACACGCAGCAAATCTGATTGGTGCCGATGCTACATGCAATGCAGGAAGCGACACAGCATGACACATCGGCGGAAAAAAAAACACAGCCATATCCATGGAGCTCGAACAAATAAATTGATCATTGTCAACACCTGAGCTCTTCATCGTTGCCCACCGCCAAATAGTTGATCTGCCTCGTGGGCTGCGCTGGCATCCCCATGTTTCGGCCGGTGCCACCACCCGGCCTTTTCAGGGGCATTTCCTTACCCACCACCGAGTAGTCAGTCTGCCTCGTGGGTTCTGCGATCCCCATGTTTCGGCCGGTGCCAGCACCCGGCCTCTTCTCATATCGATTCACAAACATCCCAAGCGCTTTCTCAAAGCATCTGTCTGGACATCCAATGGCTCTGAGTTCCCATCGCAAAGTTTGGCCGCTCCGATGTGAAAACTGATGCTTTATCGAAAATGAGAGCACGAGCCCCAGTCCTCCATGATTTAATACCTTCGGTGAAGTTCGGTCCCTACATTCCCAGATTTGCTGTCCGTTTCGTTTTTTGCCCGGAATCTACAGCTGATCTGAGGTGGGTAATTACCCGCCTTTACAAGGC